CCCTAGTAGCGTCCTTGCTCCTAGTAGCGATGCCAGGAGCCCCTAAGTCTAGTAGCTTCTTGTTACTAGTAGTAAGAATGCTCCTAGTAGCGATGCCAGGAGCCCTAGTAGCGTCCTTGCTCCTAGTAGGGATGCCAGGAGCCCCTAAGCCTAGTAGCTTCTTGTCACTAGTAGTAAGAATGCTCCTAGTAGCGATGCCAGGAGCCCTAGTAGCGTCCTTGCTCCTAGTAGCGATGCCAGGAGCCCTAAGCCTAGTAGCTTCTTGTTACTAGTAGCAAGAATGCTCCTAGTAGCGATGCCACGAGCCCCAGTAGCTTCTTGTTACTAGTAGTAAGGCCAGGAGCGCCCAGTTTGTAGCGTCCGATCGCTCTGTTCGTAGCGATGCCCTTGGTTCCTAGTAGCTTCTTGTTACTAGCAACACACTTGTTGCAGGTGCAGACTCACAGCTGTTTCACTCGGCGGGATGAACCTACTTTGAACATCTTAGATCCTGTCACTCTTGAATATATCCATTGCGTGTCCAGTTTGTTTGTTTGTTTGTTTTTGAGCGCAATCGGGAACGACCGCAGGAAGCCCTTCAAGTACCAGGAAGATGCTCCAGATGGTGGCTTAATGGACTTCCTGGAAGGCCACGACATGAACTCCTTGAAAGGGAGATAGGATGAATTAGCATGAAAGATGTCACTATGGGGTGGGGGTGAGTCCTCTCAGGGTCAGGGTCAGTCCTCTCAGGGCTGTAGAATTTGTGCGGGCGTGTTATTCAAGCCACAAAAGCTCAGAATGGACAGCTCATGACAGCTGAGCAGATTGGACAGCACTCTTCGCACACTTGGCGCATTAAATTACTTAAATCTGCATGTGACACAACTCGGCAACTGCCACGACAAGCACGACTTGCCTGTGGACCTTGAAGAGACAAATATTCATTCAATACGTACTTGCCTACATTTTCAAGCTTGCACCACGTGTGACAAGAAGATTTCCAGGCTCACAGGCCTGGGCGAGAGAGCTTGTTTGAGCAAGCTCATCCAATTCGGAGCCAGGTTTTTGCCATAAGCAGTTTTGCATTGTACCCATGCATCCACTATCCCTACATAATGTGGACTCTTGATTAATAAACCATCCCCCAATATGGATGGTAACCTATATATTGGGGGGGTATGAATCAAGAGTCTACAAGTCTACATTGTGGGCATTCACCAAGTTATTGTTTTTTTGTGCAAACAAACGTTTCTTTCCGGTGGCTCTCCTGCACCCTATCGAGTCAATGTGAAATACATCGCAATACAGGGGTAGGGGGCGCGAAAAAAGACATTGACATGGGTTCTCCATGAAATGCATGCCAGCGCATTTGCAGCTGGTAGTTTCATATTTTTTATTCAGCCTTTACTTGAATTGCCAAAGAATCCCATTGACTCATTTTTTCAGGTGAGTACTTGTAGACACCACCAGCCAGTCAAACCTCTATGAAGTAGCAGTCCCAGGTTTCCGCATCAGCCGCGCGGAGTGCCCTCGTACTTCCGGACACCAGGTGAGTACGAGAAGTACGAGGCGAGAGACTGTCGTCCGTCCGAGAATCACCGGTAGAGAGGTCGGTCCCGAGGTTTTGGATCCATCGTCGCTGAGCAGTTAAAGTTGCGAAAGTATCAAAGTCTACACATGCAGTTGACAATTACAGTATACAAACATCACCATGCTACAAAAGTTTCTCAATGTGTCCTCGTTCCAGGTCTCGGTGTCTAACCGGTTGAACGGTCCTTTTGCGGCAGATAACAAACCAGCAGCGCCAGGGCCATGAGGGCTTCCGCAAGGACCTTGGGAAAGCCATGGAGCAGGTCCATCGAAATGAGCCCGGCGGCCCACCTCCTTCCGGGCCGGGTCAGCGATGGGGTGAAGCCCAAACACCGGAGACGGGAAGCTTGGGTTCCTTTGGGGAAGCATGTTGGAAGGCTTGAGCATGTTGGAAGCATCCAAGAAAACGAGTGGACCTTGCCCCACCAAAACCCAGGGTCACCAGGAGCTTTGAACAGATTGGAGCCACCCAAAAGAAGAAAGCGAACCGTTCATTGGAGATGGTGACCGGCCATGCGATGCATCATGTGATCCACCGTGACCAGCACGAAGGTCTGAATGCGATTTTGAAGCAAAGAAGGTCTGAATATGGGCTGGTAAGTGAGCTGGTAGTTTGTTTGCTGTGGTACTATTGGGTCAATTGGATCCAACTTGCGTCATTGATGTGCGCATTGCCTTGGGTTTGCCAGTTGGTGTGTGCTATAGCTCTTTTTTTGATTTGTTTGGGGCTGTTCGAAGAGGCGGAGGCGTTGTCAGAAGATGCAGAGGTGTTGTGCCTGCAGAACCTGCAAGGCTCCGTCATATTCTGCAATGAGCATCATCAAAGAACATATCCACAGCATCTCCCGCACATCTAAAACTTGCAGAGGTCTTGGGATTCCAGGACGTTTCGAAATTGGAAATACGACGTACTCGGGTATGCACCCTCCTTGTGTCATAGGCCATCAGTGTTGCCAAGGGATGTGCCCGACTTGTGCATGATCAGTGATCAGCCTCTAATCGATAGAAAAAGGGAACTGCCTGCAGACACGTGGATCATGTGAATCAATGGTGGAATTCATACATACATACACTACATACCTGGACATCCTATCTTCAAGTCCTGGCTGGAGATCCCTAGTAGTAGAGAGAAGTCCAGCCAGGAAAACCATGCTCCGGAGGGTCCTATACAAGTAATCACGTAAGTCCGGTCCCAAGCTCAGCCCCCCTCGAACGTCGAGGCCGGTGCGTGGCTTTGAAGACTGAGATTTGCGTGACTTTGAAGACGGCAACCGATGGCGGCGCCGACCAAATGCAGCCCAAGGCCCACCACATGGAGTGTTGTATAACTAATCACATCTAGTCACTATATACTTGTAGTGCTGCTACAGCTATTAGTACTACTACTACTACGACGACGACGACTATGACTACTACTACTATTACTACTACTGCTGCTGCTGCTGCTGCTGCTCTTACTACTACTACTACTACTACTAGTAGTAGTAGTAGTAGTAGTAGCAGTAGCAGTAGCAGTAGCAGTAGCAGTAGCAGTAGCAGTAGCATAGTCGTAGTTGTAGTTGTAGTATGTTGTAGTGGTAGTGGTAGTGGTAGTGGTGGTAGTAGTGGTAGAAGTAGAAGTAGAAGTAGTGGTCGTGGTGGTGGTGGTCGTGGTGGTCCTCGCCTAAATCTCAATACGGCGATCTTTTTGATTACGGCGATTTTCACACGACTACGACGACGAGTACGACGACGAGTACGAGTACGAGTACGACGACGAGGACGACGACGATACTAGTACTACTCCTACTCCTATTCCACTCCTACTCCTACTCCTGCTCCTACTCCTACTCCTACTCCTACTCCTCTTCCTCCTCCTGCTGCTGCTGTTGTTTTTGTGCTGCCATCTATCACTTCGACTCCAAGTAGTACGAACCATGCAACTACTATACTTCTAAAGTGACACCTGTTCGTTGGCAGGGTTGACATCGCACGCAGTCACCCTTCCATGGTAGCCTTGAGGCCTCTTCGGTTTTCATTTGTCTTGCGTTCCGTTCGCTTCCAACGGGGCCAGTGATCCACCTGATTGGCTGGTGAATGGCCAAAGACAAACTGGCAGGCTTTAGACTCAATTACTCATTTTACTAGCCCTGCGGCCACTGAAGGCTGCAAAGTCAAAGAACGGACTCAAAACATCACACAAATTATGATGAATTTGTTGTTTTTTTCCCATCACTCGAAGTGGAATAGCCTGAGCACCCCAAACTTGAGTGAATCGTTTTCTCTTTGTCAGACAAATTTGCGTTGTTTACATGAACAGACAGTGAAGATACTACCCCACCGAATAGTCAACAAATCTCCTATAGGCGTTTTTTCATGGACACGCGGTGAAACCCATGGTTTTCCTCTCCCCAACCCAAGCAGCCCGACTCGCCGCTCAGACTAGCCCGAATTGCACAGCAGGCCGCCTCTTCAGTTCCACCATCTTCGAGTCTCGACGAGGTCGGAGGGGTCAGTGAGATCTTCCACCGAGGGGTGGGAGGTTTCATTTCACGATTCCGTCGACGAGTCCTGGCCTTCGCCACGAACAGAGTCGTGTCGTTGGGGTGTTCTGAGTGAGTTGGGTTTCTCCAGAAACAGCACTCCATGGGACACCACGCGTTTCGTTGCCAATGTACCGGTGGTTTGGGAGGTCAATGTAGGCGTTTTGGTTCCATCCATGGAGTGTTTGGGTCTGACAGGCACTTGAACCCACTAGAACATGTGTCGCACCTCTGAGCTCTGCGCTGAACAGAGCCACACAGCAACGGGCAACATCATGCACTTGTGATCGTGGTCATCGGCCGTCCGCAATCATGCTAAGATCGATACCAATAGCATCCACTAGGTGATTCGACGATTCTGCGAAGCCGCATTCTAGAAACCCATGAAGCAGTCAGACAACATAGACTCGCTTCCCTGTCAACCCCAAAGCTTGGTTTACGGCGGATTCCGGACCACAATGGCTTCAGTGCTCTCAATAAGATGTCCAAAGACGATACAAATCCCATCTTTGGAGACATCGACAGCAGTGGCGTGGCTCCAAAAAGTCCTCGACATGCGTCATTTCGATCGTTCGACTGTCGGAGATATTGGGTACCCAAACGGCCTCAGTGAATGTTCCCAGGGCCCAACCAGGGATCGAGTTGAATAGTGTGATGACCCTGGATGACCCTGGAGCATGGAAGAAAATGTCTCGTGTGCTTAACATGGTGACCAACCAATCCATCCAATCCAGTCCAATGCCCAATCCAATCAAGTCCAAGTCCCATCCATCCGTCCATCCAGCCAAACATGGGCCACTTGATTTCTGGACTTTGATACATTTTTATGCATCCATGTGGAATCCACATGTGGACTCAACGGCAACTGTCCGATCATGTTGAGCAGGAGTCCTCACCTTATCAAGACTATAAGACGTTGTAGCAGGAGTCCTGGATCGATTACACTAGAAGTCGACGAATCGATCGATGTAGTCACTTCATCAAAGAGTCCATGTTGGTTTGAAGCAATGTTTTGCGGATTCAGACAATTAGACAGAAGGTCGACATGTAATGTGTTTAGATCTTTGAACGAGCCTGAAAGAGGCTTGGCGCATTCTTTCGGCTCAGGGCTTGACAAGTAAGCCCTTGAACTCAGCTGGGGCTGTTGATGAGTTCATGGCGTTCAGATAAACATGGATGAACATGAGCATCACATATATATGTGATTTGATCTCAATCTTTAGAATCTGCACCATTTGCTTCGATAACAATTGTCAGTCAGGGTACTTGGGTCAAGTCACCAAAACACAACCAACATTTGACTGTGCTTCGTGGCAGGTGGTTTGCGTTTCTTTTTTTGCTTTTCCAATTTGTGAGAGACCAACATGTCTTAGCAGAAAGCATGAATCACATTCAGACTTTTCAGGCTGAAAACTGAACATTGTTTGACCAGGCTTTGAACCTCATGATATTAACAATGTAATTCACTTCATTGGAGGAAGAGACCAACACCAATCGCGAACAATGATCAGGAACCCTACATGGTGTGAAAGCAATCGAGCTTGGTTCTTTGCATCAATGATTCAGCCTATGATTTACATAGAAGATCCATGATCCAATTGCTTGTTATGTCATTATCTATCTATATATATATATATATTTGGTTGTGTTCATCTACCCACACCGTGCCCATCCGCTTGATTCGTTGGAACGCGCCCCACACGCACAACTCTCGCGCGGCGGCTTGAGCGCCGCGCCGGGTGCGGTGCCATGTCTTTTGCTCGGGCCACACGGCGCCCGCCCTTGCGTCCCGAGTCTCCGCAGGCGGACATCCCTTAGTTCAACCATGTTCAACCTACCCAGGACAATTGGAAACCAATGGTGGAACCTTCCTCGGAAATTGGGGAGGGCGGAGGCTCAAAAATGGCCCTACCCAAAAAGTGGATCATTTGCCGAAGCTTTTTGGGTGGATTGGTTTCCCCAGGTTTCCCCACCTCTGTTTTCCAGGCAAGGCCCAGACGGCCTTGCTAGTCAGGACATGTGCTTTGTCATCAGTCAGGATGATTCTGATGGGCCTTGATTCCTTCAAAGAGACCGATGTTGTCTTTCTGGCTTTGGGGGGATCGACATGGTGATTGAATACCCAAAAAGAAAAGGATTCGTAAATTGATTGATTTCGGAGCATGACCGTGACACCTTTCTGCGATGTTTGCCTTGGTCAAAAGGACAAGAGGAGCCTCAGCCATTCCACGCAGATGAGGACCCCTGGGCGCCCTAAGACACACCAGAGGGCCCTCTGTTATAACGCAATGGCTTCTGTAGATGCACCAAACACAAAAGCGACACAATAGTCTTGTAATGCACCATACTCCGCGTAGGCTACCTTGCAGTCTCCTTGTTTTGCCGTAGAGTATTTGGAAGTCTTTCAGAATGCCAGGGGCTAAGCAACAAACAAACAAACAAACAAACACACACACACACAAACAAACACACAAACAAACAAACAAACAAACGCAATGGCCACATTGTAGTTCAAGAGTAAACAGGTTGTTGATGTGTTGAAGTATCCATATGATTCTATCATGCCTGCTCTGAATCGATGGCTTCTTTCTGGTCTCCTCAAAACAACTACCAAGCGGACTGAATTGAAGGTGCTCGATCATCCGCAAGCGGATGTGTGTTCTTTGTTTAAAGGCAAGTCCTTTTCATGTCCCGGACTTCGAAGGATAGAAGCCACATGACAATGGTGAAAATCCCTCGGAGGGGTCTAAACATGTTTGAACCACACGCGTCGACCGCTGCACGCGACAGGCACGTGCCTGTCGAGAGAGGCCGACCAGCATCTCTCCCCGGAGGACTGGGTTGACTAGGGCAGCGACAGAGCCTTAACATACAAGAGGAAACGGAGATCAACAACTAATAGGCCACCGAAAGTGAACATTCATCTCAGATTTGACTACTTGCTAGCATATGTTAAAGATATTGAATGTGACTATTAATGTATCCAAGAGGCATGGTTTTATCATGTTTGATCATCCCCGCCATCGATAAGCTAAACTTTCAGGACCACATTGATTCAGCTGGGTTGAGAGAAGGATGATCAGGAAGACTGATTTGCCAGCTTGGCGTGTCTTCATTGATCCGAAAAGCGAGCTATATGTATATATATAGATATAAGTTATTAAGCTTGTTGCGTGGAACACCAGCAGCCTGCTTCGCCACCTTTGCCCCACCAGGATTCGCCTCACCAGCCCCACCGCCACCGCGGCCTTGGCCGCCGCTCCGCGGCGGAGCTCAGTGACGTCGCTGGCGTCGGAGGCGACCACTGCGATGTCGCACCCGGCCTTCTCCCTCCGGGTGGCGAGCTCAGCACCGGGGACGACGGTGGTGCCCGGGACGACATGTCCTTCAGGTCTGCTGCATGTGTCCGTGGGCGCTGCCTAAGGCGTCTCTGCCAAAGGGGTTATGAGCACATTGTGGGCAAATTGGATGCAAATGGTTTCATATGGTGTCATGAATGTCCCCATCTACATCCAAATTTACTGCATCCTTAGCTTGAGCCTTGAATGAGGTGATCACTGTTACTTGCGAACTTATCATTTGGCACAGGTGAAAGACAGAACACAACAGTTCGTGGTGATCACGGCAAAAGCTCCCAGCTAAGACCACCAAATGCTTACCGCTCTTGGCCTTTGTTACTTTTGCTCTTTGGAATCACATAAATCGATGAATGATCGAGCTCGTTCGAGTCTGGGATTCACCCTTAGAGCATATGTGTTGCTTTGAACACCTCCAAAGTGGGGTTCATGATTCATGTTGGACGGGTATATTTACCTACATGTTTCAGGGGTCAATGTATAGGTGGCACATGTTTGAAGTGGGACCATGAACTCGATTCCCAGACGCTCTGACTCCAGGGGACGGACCGCTCGAATGGCCTAGTCTACATTTAGGTGCTCTTGGGTGGTGAATGAACCGGTAGGCTGGATCAGCGCCACCATGGAGCGTTTGTGTTTCTTTTTGCCCAAAAGCTCGTTAAAGGCTTCATGCCCTGTCCCTGTCCAGCCTCTGCCCCGCCTAGACCTGTGCGTCTTCACGAGCTTTGAGCGCTGCCTGTGCCTCGCCCATCTCCACCTCGCAGTGTTCCTCCTCAGTGCAGCGCCACGGCTGAGGTCGTCGCGTACAGGGGCCGTGCTTGTTTGAGGATGCTCTTTTCCTACCGAGGAAAACATGTATGAGCTATAACGTGCTATAACCCTTTTATTGGGGAAACCACACTCATTCTGAGAACAGGTGGATCAAGGTGAAGCAGACCTGGGTATTCTGGGCTCCAGAGAAGGTTGTGTGCCATGTCATGCCCTGTCAAAGCTCACAACTTGATCAATCTATATATTATATATAATTAATTGGGTTGAGATCAGGTCCCAAGCTGGGAGGTCACCAGGCGAGCATCCTCCAGAGACTTCTTGGAGTTCGAACTGAACTGGTTTTCTGAGTTCGGAGAGGCCATCGACCAGCCTTCGTGCCGTCAGAAGGCCGAAGGAAGTGAACGCCTCCGAAGTGAAGCCCCAAAACACTGGACATGCCCAGTGGCCCAGTGCCGGTCAAAAAGTCAGGCACCATGGGGACAGGTGAAAGCCCAGAAACGTAAATGCTTCACTGGACACAGGGGCCTGTGTGGGAGATGGTTTTGCATTGTTTTGCTACGTTTCGCTGCAGATGAGGATGTGTTTGCAGCAAAACCTACAAAAAAAAAAAATACAAACAATCTACTCGGCTAAGCCTTTGAAGGCGGATCGCATGGTGTTCTCCATCAGAATGTTCCATCCTGTGGAACGCAAAATAGCGGTCACAAGAGCTGACTCCCACCTGCTTCCTTCACCTGGTGATGCTCAGATGCGCGCTGGGCCCGTCGGCCCTAACACGTCGTGATGCGTCGTGACGCGTGTCACGTGTGGCTTTGACCCGTCCGGACCGGAGGACGACCTCGCTGGTGATGGAGGCGACGAGGTGCTGAAGGTGTAAGAAGATGAAAATGAAACATAAAACAATTTAATCGAAAGTAAATAGTATTCCAGCAGATTCCAGCACCACCCACAACCTGGGTGCTTTATAGATGCCATCCCGCGACATCCTATCATATATGTATGTTCATGTATTTTCCTTCCACCACCCGACCTGGGTGGTGCTGGTAATTCAGCTTCAGCATGCAAGCACAGACTACTGG